CACAGATAGCAGGAAGCCTACCCGTCCCGCCCGTCGCGCCCATGCCCGCCCGTCGACGGCCCCGGTACCCAGGGTACCTGAGCGTGGGCCCGATGCAGGCCGTGTCGGTGCTCTCGATCTCTCGCAGGATCCGCTCGTGCTCCGCCGCCGACTCCAGGCTCTCCGCCTCCGCCATCTTACCCCGCTCCATAGACTGGGGGCACCGGACACCGCGTCCCCTCCTCCAGCTAGCTTCACCTTTTCGCTCCTCACACCCCCTCTCACCCAAGGATCCAAAGCCTCCTCAGCCTTCAGCAACCCACAGTTTGACCCCTCCCTCAGTTTGACCACGCCCCCTGCGTCACCACGTCCATGTAGTTCGCGCGATGCCCGCTGGGATTTGCAGTCCTCTGGACGTTAGTAGGCTGGGTAGGTTCATTAAATCATTGATGCCATAAATCCGTGTTTACAGCCCATGTAAACCAGGAACAGTTAACAGCATTGGGTACATAGTTATGATTAAGCCAGACGATGGCGCTAGCCTTACAAATTCTTGTTTAACCCCCTTGTCACAAAGTGCAAACAGCTCTCCAGGAGCGGGGGAAAAAAGAACAATACGTATACTGACAGAGATCTCACAAAAAGGGGTCTGGGGGTGGGGGTGGGGAGCAAGAGACAGAGCTGGGAAATCTAAAGCTATGATACAAGGCAGAATGCTGCTAAACAATGCTACAGAAAGTCGCCTTCAGTAATCGCTTCTGGCTGCATAGAAACAAAGCTTGGAAAGTTAAACGGTGTAACTGAAAGGTGTGGGGGGCACCCATACAGGCAGCAAGATTTTAATTTGCACTACAGTGTAAAGAAATAATAGTAAATAATTGGGGTTAGAAAGGCATTTTAATAGAGAAATTGTGAAGAGTTTTAAATACCGGGCGAAAAAACTGTACTTTATTCTGGTGGTTCCATCAATCCAATAGACAACTCCATCAGAAGCACCTGGAAACTTTATTTTTTTAATATAGACTAAGAGTCTTTCATCTGGAGATTCAGATCCTGGCATTTGCATTTCATAAGCTCCCTGAAATGTGACTTTAAAAATCAGATTCATTGATCAGTGCTAGCACAATGAGTGGGGGAAGTCACAGAAAGTATTTTACAAGAGAAGTGACATAATTAGAACCTTAGCATTAGGAAATTTGATCAATGGGTTTACAAGATGTGCAGAGAAAGACAATTTGGAGATAGGGAGACACATCATAAGAGATCTTGAAGCCTAAGTCAGAAAATAGCAATGAGAATAAGAAAGAATGAATCAATGGGAAAAACCAATAGGAAAAAAAAATTATAAAGAAGGAATTGGAAGAATTTACTGGACAGCATGGTGGGCATTATTACTTCAGGGACTGGAACCAGAAATGCTACTACTGAGAGAGTAGTATTGCCATAAAGAAAGAAAAAAAAAGAGTTAATCTTTGACAAAGGGGCCAAAAACATAAACTGGAGAAAAGATAGCCTCTTTGATAAGTGGTGCTGGGAAAATTGTATATTCACATGCGGAAGATGGAGTCTAGACCTATACATCTCACCACGTACTAAACTAAAATCAAAATAGATAAAAGATCTAATTATAAAAACAGAAGCAATGTGCTAGAAGATAAAATAGATAAAACTCTTGAAGACATAGCTGCAGACAAGGACTTTTCTGGTTTTTTGTTCGTTTCTTTGTCTGTTGTTGTTGTTGTTGTTGTTTGAGACGGGGTCTTCATATGTAATACAGGCTGCCCTTGAACTCAATATGTAGTCTAGGTTGGCCTCGAACTTGCAGCAATCCTCCAGATTCTGCCTTCTGAGTACTGGGATTACAGGCATGCACCACGATGCCCAGCACCCAGCAGCAGGAACTTTCTGAGCAGAACCTAGTAACACAAAAAATAAAACTGAAAATCAACAAATGGGATCATAACAATTAAAAAGCTTCTACATAGCAAAAGAAAACAACCAAGAGAGTGAAGGGATAACCTACAGAATGAGAAAAAAATTTGCCAGCTATTTCTCAGACAAAGAACTACCATCTAGAATATATGAAGAACTCAAAATATTAAATCCTCTAAAATAAAAGACCTAGCCAGGCATGGTGGCCTATGCCTATAATTCCAGCATTCAGGAGACTGAGGCAGTAGGATCACCACAAGTTAAGACCAGCCTGCACTACATAATGAGACCCTTCTCAAAAAACTAAATAATAATAAATAAAATAAAAGACCCAATCAAAAAATGAGCAACCAAAATGAATAGACACTTCTCAGAAGTACTAATAAACACATGACTAATAAACACATGAAAAAAGTTCAGTAGTACTGGCCATTAAAGAAATGCAAACTAAAACAACACTAAGATACCATCTTACTCCAGAAAGAGTGGCTATCATCAAAAAATCTATTAACAGCATAACTATTTGAGCTCATAGTTTTATAATCCTGATTGAGAATTGAAAGGCATGGTAATTTTTAACCAAAACTGAATCTGATAATTTTAAATAAAGCAACTGAATTTGGACTGCTTACATATTAGTTGAAAAGAAACCAGGGCACACAGAAACTTGTCCGTACTTGTTTATATATTCATAAACTAGTATATAGATACAATATTTCTAAAAGGATACTCCAAAAACTTTTAAAAGTAGTAGCAGCCAGAGAAAGATTGGAAGGAATGGGACTGAGTAGAAAGAAGGTGATTTTTAATTATGTATCATTTTCACTTTGGGAGTCGTTCTCCTAGTGCATGTATTGCTTTTTTAATACAAAGAATTGTTATTAAATAAATATATATTTTAAAAATAAACCGGTATGAGGAGAATGGGTTACAAGTCCTGGTTTGCAGGAATGGAGCAAGTTGTTAAACCTGTCTGTTTCTGGGTAATCCCCAGCTGTCCTCATGTTTTTCCATTACTCATGCTTAAACAGTTTCAGGGAGATGTAGAAGAGGTAGGGAGAGGATGAACCGTTTCATATTTCTAAAGATGTCTTGAAATATATGACAGTGATACCATTAGGCACCCATTTTAACATCTTATTCAGCCAAAAGCTTTTCATCCATCACAGAAAATCCATTAATGTGTAAGCCAGACATGTATAGTAGTAAACTCACTTCTGCTACTGTCAGCATTTTGTTGTTTTGTATGGTTTGGATTGTTTCGTTTTTTGGTTTTTGTTTTTTGTTTTTTTCAGCTGCTGCTGAGGCCAGATGCCCAACATCTTACGTACAAGGGTGTGTGAGTCTTAAGGGACTGATACTTTTTAAAAGATGCAGTGACGATAGACTACCTAATGTCAATAATGCCCTCCAAATAAAAAGAATATCAGGTCAGTGTGGAATGACCAGAAAGCACTAGACTCAGACTCCGAGTCCCTTCAATTCAATTCCAGCATTAGTAGTTAGCAGCTACCTGTATGAGAATCTCCAGATGCAGTGCCTTTCGTCTGTATTTTAGAAATGGTGTGGGGATCCTCGTTGGTTGTTTGGTCAGTGGAACTATTAGAATAAAATACAGATTTCTCCACTCATTATTTAAGGATCTCCACAATTCTCCTCCAAAGTACTTTTCCAGACACAATATACAAAGGAAGCACTTCATACCAATCACATTAAACCCTTAAAATACTCCTTTATAACAGGTATCACGTGTCCTTCTCTATAGATGATAAACCTGAGATATTAGGTAGAACCCCACACCCTACAGCTACTAAACAGTGAAGTTGGTATTCAAACCATGTCCATGTGATTCAAAGGCTTGTTTCCTAACCAATATCCCAGTGATGGCGAGCCTTTTAGAGATGAGTGCCCAAACTTCAACCCAAAACTCATTGATTGCAAAGCCGAAATTAAACCTAAATACTAAGGTTTAGGTTTATAAACAACAACTCATACATTAACATCTTTTGTCTTAAAAGAAAAACAAATGATACGTGTGCCATAGGTTCACCACCACTACTAACCTGTACTGTCCCACCCATACCCTCCACTGCCAGGAGATTAAGCAAAGCATTCTGCCTCTGCATCTGTTTCCACATTAACATAATGAGCCGGGCGTGGTGGCGCATGTCTGTAATCACAGCACTCGGGAGGCTGAGGCAGGAGGATCGCTGTGAGTTTGAGACCAGCCTGGGCTACATAGTGAGTTCCAGGTCAGTCTCAACTACACAGTGAGACCCTGTCTCAGAAAAAAACAAACAAAAAAACCCACATTAATATAATGAACTGCATCATTTCTGAGGCCCCTTTCAACTCACCTTGGTGATCACTTCACAAAACCACATTCCCTTAATTACTCAAATGAACTTTTTCCTCTTCTGCATCAGTAAATATTCAACATCACCTCACAGCTCCTCACTGCCATATCTAGGCTATTATTCCAACATTGTAATTCCTCAATTCTCCTTTGAAGTCTAGGGCATCAGAGGTACTGTGGCCGTGTACTAATATTCATATTCCTCAGAAATTTTACCACTTGGCTCTATTTTCCTTCCTGCCCCATTCCCTGCCATTATCCTGAGGTATTTCAACATCATCCTGAAAAACCTACGTAATGCCCTGACCACATAGGTCCCTATTGTTCCAGTCAGGTTCCTCCTGCCACATTTGTGATGTATTCTTGGCTTCACCTTTTACCTGAATATTCCATAAATATCATAGCACTGAAAAAAGTCTATAAACACTGCTTTACCACCAAGACTGCAAAGCTGTGAATTTGTTTTCTCTCTTCCATCTATGTCTTTGCTAATTTCTATGACCTACACTTTAATCTCAGTCTTCATCCCTAATTTCAATGAGCACTTTTAATCAATTAGCATTTTCCCTTTCTGTCTTGGAATTTCTTCAACCCCACATTCCAATGAAAAGAGATCTAACTTTGATTCCTGGCTTTCCATTAATCACCAGATGAAATTGGGAAAGGTACATGGATGGCTTCCTAAAGCTGCAGTTTTCTCCTATATAAAATGAAATTTATAACCTATACCTAAGGCACTTGAAAGAAATAATTGGATGGAGGTGTAGTTCAGTGGTAGAGCACATGCTTAGCGTACCTTCCCTCTTAGAACTGTTTTCACTGTGTCCCATAGGTTTTGGCATGTTGTGCTTTCATTGTAATTTGACTCTTGGAAGTTTTTTTTATTTATCTTCTGATTTGTTTGGTGACCACTAATTATTCAATAATGTATTATTTAGGGCCAGGTATTTAGCTCAGGGGCACCATGCCTGCCTAGCAACAAGGTTGTAAGTTTGATACCTGGTATGAAAGCAAGCAAGAAAGAAAGAAAGAAAGAAAGAAAGAAAGAAAGAAAGAAAGAA